ATGTATGTATGTATGTATGTCAGGTGTGAGTTTGAAGGTGATTGCTTATGCGCATGTATGGGGTCTGCGCCTCCGCATGGGTCTATGTTGCGAAAAGCTGCCGATAGCTTACAGCATGTGCTGCTGGCTGACCACAACAGGCACAAGAACCTACATGCCTTGGTAGATCGACCGCAACTCACAAACCGGTCTCTGGCTTGGGCTCCAGCTCGACCAGCTGATGCGCCTTGCAGTTTATGTTGTGTTCTGGGTCATGGGAACCCCGAAGGAGGCCCCGACAGGGAGGGAATTCAGAAGAGTCAGGGTCCCTTGCTGAGGGTGTCCTTCAGGTAGGGGTCCTACCAAGGAAGGACCATTGATGTTACAGCAGAGTCCCTTATTGCTGAAGCTCCCCCTGTCACACAGAAAACTCCCTAAACCCCACGGAACCCTAAACCGCGACAACAGGTCCAGAATAGACGAGTTTTGCAACACATGCAGTGAAGTCGGCAACATCACAGAAACTTTTCCTCTCTACGCTCCGGTGCTTGAAACCTTAAACTCTTAAACCCGTACACCCTAAGCCCGACACCCTGAAGCTGCACAAAACAAGGTCTGATCCTTCCCCACCTCGGATCGCATCTCGCTGCTTGGCTCCTGAGAAGCTCATGGGGGGCCCGGGGGCCCTGAACCTACCTCCTCCGCGTTGCCTCACCTATCAAAGCAGCAGCTTCCTTTAAGACACCTTCCTTCTTGCTTGAAAAAAAAGGACCCCTTCTGGGAGACAGGGATCAAGAAGATGGGTGCAGAAACAGAAAGCAATTGGGCTTTAGGAACTTTAGGGCCTGTCGGGTTCAAGTTTAGGGTCTCAGGACGCACCCCGCGGCCTTGCAGGTCTCGCTGATCTCCGACTGAAAGCTCGCTTGCCACTCCTCCAACATGAGAAACCCCAATTGGGTTAAACTCAGGAGCACATAAGGGTTACGGCGGTTACGGTACTGGGTTCTTCTCGTGAAAGTTCCGTCAAGGTCGAAGCGTTAAACAAAGGACTCAGAGCTCTGAAGTCGAAGCTCAGAAAGGAGTCCTCGAACTTCTGCCGCCATCGCTTCTCAGCGCGCTCCTCAGCCTCGGGGGCTTCATTCTGCAATCGTGCATGGATCCCTCCCTCCCTCCATCTTTCTTCTAATTTTGAGGGGCCCGTGTTAGAAGCATCTTACTACGAAGGTCCCTTCGTTCTTCTGAAACTCCGCAGTTTTGAGCGGTGCAGCTCGGCATGCAGCAGCATCGCTTTGGAATGGCTAAATGTAGCTGCATGGCTTCCGCCTGGTTCGGGACGCCAGGCGTGGCATGTGCAACGAGGTGCGACGGCCATAAGTGGCCATAAAACTGTAACTGTCTCACGGCGAGGCACAGAACAAAACTTCTCGATCTCTTTTCAGTCGCAGGCAGCGGTGCCATGCTGGAGCATGTCTCCGCAATGCCCGACATCAATCTGCACGTCTAGACCCGAAAAGCCGAAGATGTCCGCGCCACTGCTGGGCAATCGCACACTCGGGGCGGACAAAGTCTGGGCGCCACTCTAGCTCACAATTCGAAAACTGCCGCTCACCTGGGTTTTTCAGGGTGTTGACTCGTGCCTGCAGAGATGTCTCGGCCGTCGAGGCCGATGCCACTTCTCCCCGATCAGCAAAGAAGCTGCCATCCAACGGGGCCCACAAACTCCAACCATACCAGCTCTGCATCGCCTCAACGTGCTGCTCCGGATCCATGGCTAGCTTGAGGCGTCGCAGGAACTTGGAACCGAGCGGGATGCCAGTGGAGAAAGTGGCCTTGACAAACGGAGGCCTGGACAGTGACCACTTCAAGCAAAAAGCTGTCACCTCCAATCGCCGTATTGGTCCGCAAAAGCCGCATCTGTCCCGAACTTCCCGCGTTTTGAAGTGGATGCCGTCCTCTACAGACCCTGAAGCGCCCGTCGGCTCATAGGACTGCCAGGCCGTGGCGGAGAGTATCGCTTTGGGCGCTGAGCAGCCGGAAACGTTCCGGGAAGACCATCCAAAGAAAAGTTGCGAGTCAGGCTCACGTTCCACAGGTCAGGACCCGGCGCATGCCAGCGATCTCACAGCAGGGCTAAGCAGTGCATCCTCTGGCCTCAGAAATGTACAAGAGGCAAACTCTATACAAGTCCAGAGGCCTTGGATGTGTTGCTGGCAGCCCTCCAGGGTGGGACGAGCATTGGCGAGGGCTTCTCCTTCTCGGCCCTCTCGGCATTGATTTGCAATTGGAGGGCCGGGCAGGCGTCGCTTGCGCTGACACCGACTCCCTGCGGTAACACGTGGTAACACGCCACTAGCAGCTACAAAGGGGCCTTCAGACCTTGAGAGTCTCTGAGACCTGAACCGAGTTGGCGAAGTCACAAGGATCAAAGAGGCTGGGGTTGCGGCCTTTTGACGCTCTTCCTGGAGCCATTCCTGCGCCTGGACAAGAACGGCAGGCAGGCAGGCGGCAGGATATTGCTTTCAACTCCGCTTAGAAGCTCCAGCCTTGGCGTCGGCACGCCGGGACTTCCCATGCGGCACCTCCAAAGCGAAGCGGACGACAAAGGGCGGGCGGAGGGTGGGCCGTCCGCGGCCTTCTTGCAGAGGTTCTCCCGGGCCTCACCTTGGCCCAGACAGCAAAAAGCGGCTGCGCCGGACATGGCCGCTTCTGGTGGACCTCCGTCGAAGGAGACGTCGTAGGTCTCCTTGAGGAACTGTGCCTGTCTGTTAGGCTCGTCGGGCGCCGTGGTGCCAGAGAAACTGCCCTGGCCTTCGGCTTCTCTCGTCCTGCGTCCAAAGTCAGGGCTCCCCTTTCCCCCACCGCTCGCTCTCTGAGAGCACCAACCCCCTCGATCAGCGCCTGGAGAGATCTCGGGCAGCAAGCTCATGGCTCGACTACGGCGTCAAGGTGACTGAACTGTCGTTGACATAAACTGCCATCCCGTCCTGCTTCGGCTGCAAATTGCAAGGTTGCTGTCGGTGTTGCAGCTTGTTTAGGGTTGGCCTGTTTTCGGGCTTTAGGATTTAGCCGCCTGTTCTTTCTCTATGGCTGTCGCTTTGGCAGCGCCCTTGTGGTGTCATGCGCATGCCCAGCACTTGAAGGCAGGCGTCCATGACATGCACCTGCCTTGGTAAAGAAATTGCTTCGCATGTACCCATGGCTGCACTTTTGCAGGACGGCAGAGTGCAAGAGCCTGCTAGTGATGTGAGTGTCGATCATCGCCGGGGGTTGGGGTGAAGACGAAGCAGTTGAGTGGGAAGGCGTGATTTTCGGGATATGCCTCTCCTAGAACTTCTGCTCCTAAGATCAGGCAGCTTGTGCTTGCATGTAATGCGATGTGGAATCCAGGTTCAACTGAATCTCTGTTTCCCTTTCTGGAACTAGGTGCTGCGCGAGCTCCTTTTCCACGAGCCTGTCCAGCCTTCTTGCTGAGGCTTCGTCATCAAAGTCGTCGAAGGGTCGGGCTGCTTCCGGGTGGGCTGTCGCTTGGATGCCACCTTGAAACTGCAGCACTTGATCCCCAAGACACCAACCAAGAACAGGAGCAGCAGCAGTCTTGCTCTACATGCCTCCTGAAGATTGAGATATTCTCACATCGAGCTGCCGTGCCTTTTCGGGCAAATTCCGCGACGCGACAAGCTCCTCTTGCTGGTCAGCGACCTGCTGAGGCAGGACGCCGACAAACCAAACTGCCCCAAAACCGAATGCCGTGAAACAAAGTCGTCAAAACTGGATCGAAATGAGAAAACATCGATGCATAATCAAGTGAAAAGAGGTAAACTTATTGACGGAACATTACAGTGGCAGCATGATCCGCGGCAAAGCCAACATCCCCGTTTTGAGTTCAGAAAACTGACACCTCTGTTCCACGCAGTGTCTGGTCTTTTCGGTTCAAGGTTTTAAGGGCCAAAAAGTCCTCCTAGGGTTTTGTCTTTCTCAACCATCAGTTTCCTTGAAAGCTTAAAGCCAAACTCTCCAGTTAGGCGCTTAGGGCTTCCCAACTCTCACCTCTTTACGGATCAGGATTCACCAGCCAGTCCTTTACAGTTTCCCACCCTATCCCGTTGTGGTCTGTGTGCTCATACATGGTGCAGAGACGGACCCTAAACTTACATAGTTGGAGTTCAAGTTCAAGCA